ATTTATTTGTTCCTATGTATTTATATTTCATAGCCTTCTTGTTCTTTGAAGGCCTAGAAGCAATGAAGGGCATATATATTTTAAAAAAATACATTTTTGTTTTGATATTGATATGTGTTTTTGTTTTTGTTTTTTTAAACAATAGTATTCACGTAAACATGTGACAGTGCGTTGGCAAAATTGAAAGTTAATTTTTTAAGTTTTTAGCGAGAGTGTAAAGCTTTTCCGTAATGTTCATACGTGTCAGTTTCTCGGGTAGTACAGTATTTGAGAGCTACATGTATAGTATTGTTTAAATCTCACATTCATATACGTACTACTGATGATCAAGTGCAGCCACGACCCTTGATGGGAAAGATGAATCTACATTTTATATTATTTACTTGATATTGCTTCTTGGTCGGCCTAGTCCCAATTTATATCGAATCGAGTGACGCAAGGTTTTGATGTGAGTATATTTCTTCCTAGCTGTAAGCGAGAGAAAACAAAGTAAATAAAAAAATTTAATGTCAATACGGGTATAGTGATTACTAGCGAAGAATACTTGGAATTGTGTGTTGAATATAAGCTATCTTATATCCCGACAGTCGTAGAATAAAATCTCAATTTCCCGACGGGGTATACGCTTGTAGTCAATGAAGCATATGATCACATCTTTAAAAATTGCAGACATCTACCCTTTCGCCTGCCAGCCACTTCACAGGAGCTTGATATATCTAGCTCCCAAATAGACACGTAGTTCCTTTGCAACCATGCATACAAACCTCAAAGCATACATCATCGTCGTGACAAGCTGTATATACTTTAGCCATACATGTAAATTTCCTTATAGAATCCCGCTGTATGTACTTAGTCAATGCTTATTCAAGACGTCAATGACAGACGCCAGAATTAACTTTGTGGGGCCATTCAAACAGATTCGTGGCCGAGAAAATGAGCAAATTTGTTACAAATATCAATTTGTCTTCCGAAATCATACTTTACAACCGACAACCAAAACAAACCATCGACAAATATGTCGTATTGAAGGGAGTGCCCACAAGACTCTAAAATTAGGCATACCTTAGAGTGATCGGGTATTTCCGGCGGATTCTCTTGAAGCTCTGCGTCTGTGTAGTCATTGTGTACGTAGTAGCCCACACGCACAAACTCTTGCTCCTTGTAACTACATGACAGTAATACCACCGTCACGCCAACTAAGCTGTCCGACGGAATGTTGGATACCACTGGAGGAGGAGCCTGTATAGATGATATAAAAAAATCAGTGATTAGATGGGATAGAAAAATAATAGATATGGCGACATACAGATCTACCGACGTGGAAATAAAAAGTATGGTATTGTACTAATTTGATGCACATGGGTCAGCCATTTTTCTTTGACAGATATAACACAGGCATTTACTATGAAGCTGGAAAAGTACGGGGATAGGTAGACATATAGTGTATCTGTAGAGAACCGGGAGGTGTGTAGAATGACTTTGATACATTTGCACCTGCGCTGAGAACAGATTTGTAGTAGGGGAAATATCACCGCCAATATAGAATTGGAATACATTTGTTAAAAATTCATACGCAAGAATGGGCGGTATCAAACAGGACTAGTATGGAATTTGACAGGATGATTGCCTTGACTACTCAAAGCCCCAATAATGTATTACTCGGCAAACCTAATGGATGATTGTAGTAGGGGAAATTTCACCTTCAATATACTTTTGAAAAACATTTATAAAGAATTCACACGTAAGAATAGGCGGTATCCAACATAACTAGTATGTAATATGACAGGAAGATTGCCTTGCCTACTTGACCTGAACGGTGTACCAATAGACAAATCTGACGGATGAGTACAGCCAGAGCGGGGTAGCTTTTAAACTCTTAATATTGAACACATATTTCAGCATATATGTGCGCGTTTCCATACCCAATATCGTACTGCAAAGCCAGAACTCGCGAACTAGGTGGATACACATTATCTTACTCTATGTTGATTTCACTCGTACAAACGTTCGTGTACATAGCATTATCTCAAAATTTATAAAACATACAACTTTAAATGGGAATTTATTGACGCCCACCCGCACCAATCCCGCCAGAATCCTGTTTAATCCTTAGTTTATAGCGCACACATGTGAATATCTCTACACATAGCGTCACATCACATAACTCAACTCGCTATGCGAGAGAGACAACCTCGATCACACTTCACTGTGAATAAACAAGCTCCAAGGTTCGTAAATACAATTGCAATACATGCCGATACAATCTTTCAACTAACCTGGAATGTGAATTTACTGACGCCCACCGGCACAGGTCCCACCAGAATGCTGTCTAATTCTTGATCGTAGTTCTCGCTTTCGGCGCTCCCCACATATATAATTTTGAATTCCAGATCTGTAGCACGAAGCAGGCAAATGTATATAAGAGATCCTATTGAATATTAACATCGAGCAACCATAAAACAGGGCATTCGAGACACTATCGAATACTGAATTCGATTTAATGTAAAACATTGAAGTCGGCGTACTATAAACTACTGATTTGGATGACTGTTTGGTATCAAAATCGAGGTGACAACTGGCAAATATCGAGATAAAACAAGTCATACACACACCCCAACACCTATACAAACGGTAACTAGAAGGATTGAAAAGATATTGGAAAATCAAATCGCTCCGGTAGCTTCTGATTTAACAAACTAT